CGGCTCTCAGGGCAGCACAGGAAAACAGAAAGATGAAGGGAACACACAGGACTCAGGGCAAGGTGAATCAGCACTTCTGGCTCTCTCTTTCCTAACAGGCAGCACGTACAATACTCAACCTGCTGCCTTGGAACACAAATGCAGAGACGGGCTTTTCTATAGTTAGTGCTCCCCTATAAAGAAGTTGTGTTAACGCTTGGCTTGCCTGCAGCGGTCCTTTGAAGCACATACATTCTACCAGCTTCTGGAAATGTCTGCGAGGAGGTCGCTGTGGTGTGAGACAGATGAGCAGTGGGGTCAGGATGGTTACAGGGGTGCTCGGCGTGGGAAGGAATCTTCTGACCTTCTTGAGGCCTTGGGAGCTGGGGTCATCTTCGGCGTGAAACTCACACGTTCAAGCCCAAGGCCAAGCGTGCCCCTCAAGGTCAAATATTAGAAGTTTTTTACTGGACCCTCTGCTGTTTCAAGCCCCGCCCCCTGCTCGTCCTCAGCACAGGGGCAGGGCTGCCAGGGACAGCTTTGTCTTTGCCTGGGGCGGCCCTCGGGAAGGAGGAGGAAGCAGAAGGTGGTGGTGGTGATGGGGAGGCTGGAGGGGGAGGGGCACTCCCTGGCAAGTTCATCAGTTTGGTTCCCCGTGGCCTCATCATCCTGTTCACCATTGTGCTCCTGGGTCAGCAGTTTGGGCAGCTTCCACTGCCTTCTCGAAGCCATTCTTTCCCTGCCCTGCCCTGCCTTGTGCAGTCACCACCCTTTGAGTCATGGGTCATGGTCTGGTGGACAGAAGCTTAGGGATTACTATGGACAGACCTGGGTTCTTACAAGTAAGTTATCTCATCTTTCTGGGTTGTGAGGAGCAGAAGTGAACACATGTGCATGATGTGTGTTGAGGAAACAGGAGAGTAAGTGATGGACCAGACCATTCACGTCTCTGATCTCATTTTAAGCCTCCCATGAAAGGGAGAGGGCGAGGAGTAGTGTTCCCATTTCACAGAAGGGGAAACTGACTGAACAAGGATACTCAAAAAGCCGGAATGCAGCTCAGGGCCGGGACACAAAGCCTGGACCCTCCCCACTGTCCTGTCCCCATTGTCACAGTCAGGGTTCCCCCGGAGGCTGGCTCCCCTCACCCACCCCACACTTTCAGTCCTGCTCCCTGGAGAGATCTCAGATAATTACCTGTGATTCAGCAGAGACGCTGGAAGCCAGCGCTGGGAGAAGTCTGCCCCCTTAGATCCCTGTCCCTCTGTGCATCCCTGGGCAGTTGGGAGGGGGCTGTTTGTCCATGGCTCTGCTGGTGCTTTCCCTTCCAGGTGTGCAGACCACTGGCCTCTGCTTGAACCTAGGTTGAGATGTGACTTAGGTGAAGTGCACATCTTACATGCTCGGTTGGATGGATTTAACACGCTCGCACCATTTTAAGTTCTATCCCTTTCTTCTCCCTGGGGGTGGAGTTTGGCAAGAGGATGAGACAGAGACCTCGGTGTCCTGGCCTTCTCTGGATTGATCTCCAGTTCGATTTCCCTTCCCCAGGACGTGTGGTGGGCATGTGAGCCTGGGGCGATGGGGGCCCCGTGTGGTCCCTGCTTTCGTGAGGTCTCACAGTCTTTCCATGAAAAGGAGGGCACGCCGTGACACCTGGGCATAGGTGATCAAATATAGAAAGAGGCATTGCAGGGCACGGAGGTGAAGGAGGGGGCTCAGAGAGGCCGGAGGAAGGAGGGGGTCTTCTGAGAAGATGGCTGAGTATGGCTGTGAAAGAGTGAGTGGCAGGCATGGCGGAGGCTGAGGATGAAGGAATGGCCTTGGGGAGCCGTCCACACCCCTGCCGCTGTGGGTACCCCATCCCTGTGATGACCCTGAGGACCTCATGACCATCTCTTCCGCAGTGGAGCCAGGGGCAGCCCCAGGGGGACGCTCCCCTTCTGAGCCCCTCACCCCCCCATCCCACCCCCTGACCACGGCTGTCCGGTGAGCTCCGCAGGCCCCCCGTGCACCGGTTCTCCATTCCAGCTCCTCCTTGAAGGTGGAGACATTCTCTCCAGGTCCAGGTACCTGCGAGGAAGGACCGGGTCTGCGTAGAGCAGGGGCTCTGTGGACAGGAAACCTGGAGGATCCCTCCAAGAGGGGATCAGTGAGGGCTCTCAGGCCCCTGGCTGGCACTGCCAGCCCTCTGCTCACCCACAGCTTCCTCTTCCTCTCCGTCTCAACCACTGCACGTCCAGACCCAAGCAGAACAGCATGGTATGGCCGTCACACTGGCTGTGGACGGTAGCCCTGGGACTGTGGGATGCCCCGGAACATGGGCTGCTCAAGCCACTTGGGCCCCCAGAGGGTCAGGCCACTCTGGGGTAGCTTCCCTAGAGAAGGGCATGAGGGCGAGGCGTGGGCGGTCCCGGCGAACCCCCTAGAGAGGCAGGCCAGGCCAGACGGGAGCTTCGGGGTGAGGCCGCGGACACCGGTCTCACCCAGGCTGTGGCGGAAGGGAAACTAGATGCCCCCAATCCTCCATCCGTCCCTCCCCGCTGCCCTGCCCCTGACTGCTTCTCATTTGGAGTCCATACCTTTGCCCTATGGATCTTGCAGTGATGAAACTCCGAGCGGGTGCTTTCCACCACCACGCAAGCACTTGGAGAGTAGCAGGTGCTCAGCGGACGTCGGCGGCCCCCTCCCGCCACTGCCAACTAACCCAGCTGTCAAGCTCGTCTTCTCACCACCAGCCACAGGCACCTGCTCCTGCTTCTCAGCCCAGCCTCTCGGCCACAGTCGACCCACTGCAGTGGGTAAGACACTGTGGGTGAGACACTCCCTCCCTGAAGCCCCCCTGGCTTTCCTTCAAGCTCAGGAGGAAGAAGGGGCAGAGCTGACCGGGGGCTACTGACCTTCCTGGGGTGGCGGCTCTTAGATTGTGCTGCGCCGAGGGAAGTTCCCCCGAGCGGCCCCACCCTTCAGTCTTTTCTGGCCCCTCCTTACCATTCTCCAGGCTCAATGCTGCTGCTGCCAGTCTGCCCAGGGAGCCCCCATCCATCACCACGTCACCCTTGCCCGCTGGTCTCTGAGCATGTGCATGCACACTGGGAACAGGACCCCGAACTTGGTGAGAGGCTCTATGGTTGCAGGGCCTCCCTCCCCACACCCCGAGAAAGAGGGTTCAGGCCCGCAGCTGGCAGGTTTCATCTTCCCCCACCTCGTGTGCACTAATGGTCACCAGGGAGCAGTGAGGCAAGTGCCACTTCCTTAATTTTCTGATGTCATGCGGTAATTTTGCATCACTCTATTTCTTGCTGAGGGCTCGTGGACAGCTTAGGGCGACCAGGAGGGTGTGACGGGGATCAATTCCTCTGGCCCTTCCCTCTTTGCTGTAGTTCAAGTGTTTCTCTATCTTTTCTTTCTAAAGACAAGTGCATCCCGTAGACTATTTGTAAAGCATATGTCTCCCTAACAAATCCTATTTTCCTATCGCCTTTCATTAGAGGACAGACTTATTCCGT